TTGTTCCTGTTGCGCTGCCGTCTCTCTTTTCTTTCCTGCCTTTCAGGTTCTCTTCCTACCATTAAACTTACAAGGAATCTTCTGTGCTCCTCTGCAAAACACCGTAATCACAGATTAGACGAAAACCTATTCGTAGCTGGCAAGTACGGGGGTAAGCCCATGTAATTGGGAAGAAGTTAGCCTTCAGCAGCAGTAAGTCCGCTCTGGCTGTTATTTTCCAAGAGGTACAAGTACAGTATATTGCTTAGGCCTGCTGATTGTAAATCCTTCCTGTGATAATCCTCAGCAGAACAAAATGCAGTGTCGTGTGTGAAATCTTTTTACCAACAAAGTCACAATCCTTCGGAAATACTGCACTACGTTCTCCACATACTTATACCGAATTACGGATATCGGTTAAACAGTACTCTGCCAATTTCAGCACTTAAACTGTTATTAATTCATGATCACTCCTGTGAACATTGATTTGTTTTTATTCACAAAAGGCGGATATTATCAATGCTAATGCATTTCACAATCTATCCCTCAAAAACTGCCAGCCATCACACTCCTTATCATGTCCAAGTTCTTAATATTCACAAGCAAAACTGAGTGAAGTGGGAGGCGGGAGCGTTATTTTTCAATGGGCGCTTGTGCTCACTTCTTAAACGGAGCACAAACAAAAGGTGACCGAGATGGACAACAAAACGAAAAATTACGAAAGCGGTAGCTAACCTTCTACCATGATATTCGAGAGACCTCACATTTTCTGAACAGGTAGCACCACAGACTCGCAAATCCAGGATCTTGATGGGCTGCATAGTTCGGAACTTTCACTTTAGGGGAGTCAGGTTACTATTCTACAAAACCTGCGTACTTCCACTGTTAGAATACTTTCTATTTATAACGAGTGGTATCCGCGTAAAAGACAAACACAAAATAGAGGGCGTCCGAAGGTATTTCGCAGCTAGACTACCAGGACACGATGGCAAACAGTAATACAGCTCCAGATGCAGAACATTAAGTCTAGAAACACTTTGCGTGAGACGACTCAAAATTAACCTGACACCCTTCTTTAATATATTACACGAACTCACTTTTACAGTCAGTGGTGAGTTTCAGTTCGAACACAACAATTGTTACCATCTGTGCAACCACGCCCGCAGCGTCACAATGAAATCCTTTAAATCCTGGTTGCGCGAAAACTTCTTCACCGTCAAATTCTCTCAGTTGTGGAACAGACTTCCTGCCAAAGTGAAGGCCTCAAAATCAACCTCTGAATTTAGTCGGTCACTAGATAACTTCTTATCATCTAGTAACTTTTCCGGCTTACCGAATACACCTACAGTATCCTTCAGGACACTTCATATACTCAGCCCTCTTGATGTATAATGGAACAGCCACAACACCTACACTGGCCCTTCATACGAAGCGTTGATGAGACTTCCATAAGTTATCACCTCAGAGTAATGGCACATTCTGCCCCGCCCGACACAGCAATCTAAAAAAGAAATTCTACACTACATGACAGCGTGGAATCTATATTTTTAAGCACCCTATAGAAAAAGCAACTTACAATGGACGCCATAGCAAGGAAAGTTAAGTAGGGAAAAACGTGAACATAGAAAACACTCCTCTTGTTGGAATTCTGCTCTCTCCGCCTGCTGCTCTGTCTGTTTTTTTCGTTGTAGGAAAGCAATTCATTTCTAAAAGTTGGCTTTGCTATCATCAAGAATTGGTTACTTAAGGAACAGACCATGGCTGAAACTCCGTGCAGGGTAACCAGTTTTCCCACTTTCAAAATACCTAACTACAACAGGCAGAAATAAAAATGTTCACTTGGCTACAACTTCATAATTATCAAAATCTAAGGTTTACTCATCATAAAAGTGACCAGCAAAGTCCAACACTTACCAACTGCAAGGCATTCGTGACCATGAAAACGGCAGACAAGATGTCCTGAAAGTCCATTTGGCTCATTGAAACAAAACTATTGCCTCTGCATGCCGGAGTTGGAAAAGAGAGGATATTTGGCTCTCAGTCATAATTTTCATCAAGATTATGAATGTTCGTTGTGGAATGGTATTAACATGCATGAGATATACAGCCGTGGAATCATCAATGAAGTGCAATATGTAATACATACATACATTCCTTCATAAACTTTTCACATTATCTCAAGCAGAGTACAAACTGTTACAATGGAAGTATTAGCTTCAAGCTTCATTTTTCTCCAGGTAATACGTGAAATGTCTGGATACAAACCTGGTTTTTTGTCAATACGAAGACAATACTTGCACTTGTCCATGTTGTACATTTTTGTGCACTTATTCTTCCGGGATGTTCCATCATATGAACATGCAGCACTTGTGTCTCCTGGAGCTACGGGTGTGGATTGGGATTACCTTCCACGAAGATGCATGCGATTTGTATATAAACTTATTCACACCTGTGAAGATGGTGTATGCCTGTATATTCAGGAATAGATATCATTATTATTGACCATGATAATAAAATTTAGTTTGCCCCTTAAACTCATTGCGCGCTCGCATCAACAATTTGAAAGTGCTTGAAACTTTTTTTGCAAATTTTTTCTTATCACAGTCCGTAACCGTGTTACTTTAGGTTTCACGCACACATATCTCCAGTCTGAACCGCTTATCAGAATTATAACGCATTGCAGCAGTATCTTCACCACACGATAGGATGGGACGGAGAGAAAATCCTTAAAACTAACATTGTAGCTTGGAGTAATTCATTGTTTACTGAATCTTCGTCTATCTGGGCAACACCAACTACACCCAACAGGAAAATTCCGTAAGCAGTGCCATCAGACTGTGTGATAAGTCTAGTAAACCAATAAAAACTGATTGACATTCTACTACGGTGCACGTCCCACCCTTATATTTACGCACATGATCCAACTTTTCACACATATTCGAAAATATTTCGATACTACTGAATGCCATTCTCAAGCATTCGTCCATAAACACCATCCTTGTCCACACCACTACATGTGAATTTGTTTTTCACCTGTTATTATCAAAAGTGTTTACATCATGAGCTTAAACAATGACAGATAAACTGATGAACCGAAATTTGCCACAGTTGCACATTCGAAGAAATTAGAACTGTGTTGATCATTGTACGTTCTAAGCGTAGATGCTCTGAGATAACCGAATACTGGTTTAAAGTTGTCATGATGAAGGGGGATACCCCGTGAATAAAAACACACTACGTTTCTGGCCAAAACGATTGCTTATATTAGCTTGAAACATGAAAGTTCAACCACACAAGGAATGCTTCGTCACGTCCATGAAAAGAACAGAGTTTGATCTGCATGAATTCTCAGAAGACAACAATATCATCGTAACAGGAGTGTAAGTGAAGTTTACTGGGAGTGTGCTCGGCTGTCTACAGATTGCTGAACTTCTGAACTCACATTTCCCGGCCCAACATAGTACTGACACCCAAATCGACACCTACTCGTTACGACACTGACCAGACCATAAATAAAGAATACGTCCGCTACATCTCAGTCATCGAGAAAAAAGTGGCAGAGCAACTAACTAGGCTACGTCCGGGTAAGTCCGCTGACTGCGATGACCTGTGACCGGTAATCCCAAAATAACTGCTGCAAAGTGTTTGCAACGCCAATCCACAACCTCTTAGAGCACTCAATACAGTGATGCGAACCCCCTAAAGAATGGAAGTGCGCCATCTTGCCACTCATCTCAGAAGGAGGAGACAGGTAAATCCCCGGTAGCTACAGGCCGATTCCTCTACTCCCTATACTGCCAAAAGTGTTAGAAAGCCTGGTAGCAGACGCTATCTGGGAACTTCCCAATGGGGAAAACACCGTCCACACTGCCCAGTACGGATTTCGGAGTGTTCGCTCACGTGCTACCAACTTGCTTACCACCTGGGTCGGCTGAACACTCAGCTGGGACAACAGAAAACCGGTACATATTGTTTTCCTCGGCCTAGACAAAGTGTTTGACAATGTCCCACCACATCCCTGCTTCACAAGACCGTACCAACCGGTGTAAGTGAACCCCAACTCTCTTGGTTCAAGGAGCAACTGCAAGCCTTGCTTGGCGCCGCACCTGAAGGTTTACAAAGCTCAAGAGAGACTCTAACCTCCTTGTAAGAATGCAAACATCTGCAGCAAAATCAGTTGTGGGGCAGAGGAAAAAGATACCCTGAAAGACTAAAACACCTAAACTCATTCACCTCGAGCAAACGCAGGAAGAAGGGTGACCTTAAGATGGCATACAAGACCCCCTATCAGGCGAACCGCGCAAACAAATTAACCTTGCCCTCAGCACAGCGGTCATCACGGGGAAATCCAATCAGGATAGCACATCAGGGAGCCAGTAACACTCTCAGGTTCCACTTTTTCCCCTGATAGTACGTACTTTACGGAATACCTTACGATGACATATCGTCATATCCCCCTCAGTGACTCACTCAAGAGACGGTTAGACAGTTATATCACTTCGTGTGGCCTGCAACGGACGTACTGAGGGAGTTGCCAACCTCACTAGCCCACCCTCACCCCCCTTCTACCTACCACTCACTACCTCTCCCCTTATTAAACCCACATTACCTACTAGTTCTTCTCTAGAAAATAGACTTACGGTATCCGACTTTACCTTACGGGCAGCTTCCACGTGCTTTTTTCTTTTCTTTCTTTGCTACTACCTTGCTATTCTCATTCAGGCACCTAGGCAGACAGGAGTAACGACAGACCCTTAACGTTCCCAGTAAACCGTGGCTCCCCAGTCACTCTATAAATTGCACCTTACCAACCCAAAAAACACCCACCTCAACGTAGTTAAAAGCAAGAAAGCAGAGGGGATTTCTCGTCCATTGTAGGGATGAACCGAATAACTCGAACCAAACCTAAAAACTAGATGCGAGAGCTCAATAACTATTAGTTCTCTACGCTCTCACTATCAATATTGGATACTGGACGGGAATCACCACATCCGTTTTTTATCTTGACCAAATGTGTTGGTGTTTATCATGGTGCTATGACGGGATACTTGATTTTCATAAGGCGATTTCGAGGTGGTAATGTGTTCAAAGGTAATGTAAGCACCATGCTGCTCATATAACTATGAAGAGTGAGGCTTTTTATGAAACATATTTAACTCTTGATGTAGCTCTTAGTTATGCATCTCTCTATGCTTCATGTATGTACACAAGTTGTCGAATGAGTGCACATTTGTATCAGGTTAACCTGATACATAATAAATTTATTTGAGGGTTTTAAAATGTCTTTATCTTGTCGAAAATACTATAAGAAATAGATTTTATATCTTTGAGATTAGATTATGTTAACACATTTCCAGTGACTCTTAAGATCATGTCCTAATTCATGATTAGCAAACTTCTAAAAAGCATTCACTGATCTCTTTGAGACATTAATCTACACTTAGAACCTACACTGATTGACCCCAATCAAATAGGAATGGGGAAATGATGCTGGCGCACGCGGAAGTATTGCTTAAATGTGAAGTATAAACGGATTTTTACGGACGCCCTGCATAATTTTCTGGCTCACATTATAACTTACGCCTGCTTCCGTAAATGCAAATTGTTAGTAACCGATTAGATTCATGTTTTATGAAAAAAACGATTTTTTAAAGAGAGATAAAGAAACTTTGTTAATTATTTTAATCGTTGCTAGAGTGGCCTTTAAAGTCACATCTAGTGGCAGAACCGTGGGTCTTTTCAAAACGACCTAAGTACTAAATAAAGTCTACATAATCGCACTGATACGTTATAGCTTTTTTTGAGTTGAGTATCATAATATTTAAGGCCAGGAAATAAAAATGATGCAGCGGGATATCTAAGGCTTTTTGATGTGATTCAGTGGAACTGCAATAATACTTTTGGATATCGTGTCGTAGGCTGCCAGCTATGATACTTCTGTTCATAAACTATGATCGAAAAGAATTCCTGACGTATGAATGACCAACTACATGAAAATTCAAGGTTGCTAGTGGGATGTTCTTAGTGGATGATACTAACTTTCCGGAAGATATTTTGTTTTTTGACGTTAAAACCTCAGTTTCAAATCAGTTTAAAGTATTTTTCAGTTAGTTGAGGATTTAAGAATTATGCTATTAAAGTACCAGGAGCGTGCAGATGTTTTCTGCAAGATCCGTTAGAAATAAACGTAAACTGAGCCTTCAGCTAAGAGGATTTTACTTGAGTGGATCATCGCAGCGGGTTTTTCTGTTAAGTCCTACCTTTTACTTGAATGCATTCACCAAAGGAGTTGACATTGCTTGCTCGGATAGGGAGTTGCAGTTGTCGAACACTCCAAGAGAAGCATAGGCTCACAACAGGTTAGTTCGAACGCATGTATTTTGATTTCCTCGTGGTCTTTATTATAATCGATCCTTGTCGGAGGGAAAAATCAGACATATCAATCCCAGACTGTTATTTATACGAAGTGATTATTTTAGATTACCCCTTTCCCTCAAGCAACAGACAGTCGTTGTAAGTAATCCTTATAGTATAGGTTAGGTAAACCAGTCACCCCACTGGTTCCGTCTGTTTGAACGTGCTCCACTGTCCCAGCATTACCTCTGAAGCGAGGACTGGTCGCTTGAAGGTGAAATTTGAGGTTGAGTCGCACATGCATGGGATGCAGTATTTGAAACATTTCTTCAAAGAACTTGAAAGCTCTGCGAAGACACCAGTGTTTAAAGTGCTTTCGCTGCAGCTTAACACTATGCAGATGTTTTGAATGCATGGCTGAATTCAAGTCTTCAGTTTTGTGAACTTTAAGTACCACCATGTCATCTACTGTGTATTGCTTACAACTGCTTTGACCAATATGTATAACCACGCGTTTGGTAAAATCAATTTCAAAAATCAAAACTTGAACCAGTAGAGTAGTTTATTCAAATTTCATCTGTATCGTGTATGTATCTTTCTCGTTACAAATTACATTTCGCGTTTTCAAACCATCGGCGATAATCATGTCAGGGATTGCGTTGACGTTAAGCGAAAAAAGATGGTTTTTAAGACTGTTCTTTAGGCAACTCAGGTGGCAGGTTACCAAGTAGGTGTCCTCTTTACTCTCACTATGTCTCCTATTCCATAAAAACTACTAAGTTCAGGCCTTTATTTTAGTGTCAAACCCAAAGCATTATAGGTTTTTCATTAGCCCTACGCATGAAAGCTCCACTGAAGTCAATGAATACGGTATCTACTAACATCTTTTGACCAGTTACTACAGTTTTTGCTATCCATGTTTCTGCAATGTAGAATGATGGCTTTTGACATGACTGAACACTACCCCAGGTAATCTTGAATACTTCATAACCACACGAGTTAAGTCAATAAGACGACAGTTTGATACTAGTTGCCTATTACCTGCTCTAAAAACTGGGCTGGTTATAGTCTTTTTCCAAAGCCGAGTCAGACAAACGTATTGAATAGTTCAGTAGGCACCCTGGCAACAACACTTCAAGAAAGATAAGCTTTAAAACTAATCTGAGTACACTACACATCTAAATATGCGCAGGTCACAAACATTCTGCGTGAGTTTAAGTTGTAAGCAATTTTGTTTTCCTTTCTACTTATTTTATTGTGGCTAAAGAACTGGTGTAAATGTTCTTAAACTCAGACGATATGCAGGTATGCGTTCATTAAAGCCATGCAGTCATTGGAGGCTTATTTTTTCCTCTTTGCGTTAATGCGCGAAATTGAATAGCCATAAAAGTAAACTACAGGTAAGACTTTGAAGTTATGTAGCTTGAACTCAATAAAAGCACCAAACCATGAATTATGTCACTGTTGGTTTAACCTATGCATGCTACGTGATTGAGTCCCTTAAGTGTTAAGAGCCAATGGTCGAAGGGTCTGACGACATGGTTCAGTGTTATTACAATAACACAAATTTGTTTACTTCCTATCACTTTGGATAGTGTTTACTAGTTTTCCTCTTATTTAAGCACTCTGATACACGTGTAAACTCCAATATCATTCTTCTGTTTACCTTTTCATCGTCAGTTAATAAGTTTATTGACGTAAGACGGTACACTGCTGTGAGGTTTTAAATTGATTTTCATGTCTGCTTACAAAATGACAACTGAAGAGAGTGAAAATATGGTCTGAACTTCCACTCGTATTTAATTTCGGTTAACTTTTCAATAAATATTTCAGGTCGTAAGCAAAAGAACTATGCAACCTGCTACGCTTTTAAGTCTTTATATTTGTTACTTAATCTGGTCTGTGCCATTTGTGAGTGGTCTTAAATGGTGAAATATGATTACAATGTTCATTGCAACAGTTCATCCAATAATCTTTGCATGGTCAATCAATTTGAAAAACCTACAATCACTTTATTACCCTTTTTTACCAATCAAAACAGGCGTATATGGTCAGTATGCCAGCATGGCCAGTTAAGTTCTGGAGGGAACAAAGCAATGTCATTGTTCAGCTGTTAGCTATGATAGTTGTTAGCATCAAATGAATTTGGGTTGTTCTTGTTAGCAAGTGATATCTCCACTTTGTAGCATCTAGATAGAAATTACTGGTGACCAGAGAAGAAACTGTTATCTTTTACGCGTGTAATTCAAGTGGTTCCTCATGGCTTCATAAAAAAAACTGTGAACCTTTTTGGTCAGCTAGCTGGTCAATTCTGGTAATGCAGTGTCAGCCTAAAACAAAACAACTTATTTTTCAAATATAAGGTAATGCTACGATTGAGTGACTAAATCGATTCAACTCTTCTTCCCGTGCAAATTATGGTTACAGATTGGTGCAAAAACTTGTATTATTTAGATACACTAATGTCAACCACAGACTCTAAGTTCACATCAAGATATGCTGATGGTAATGTAAATACCAAAACAACACAGTTTCAGTTCATCTGAATGACGTGGATTTATTTTCGTTAGACTTGCGATCAAATTAAGTTTGCCATTTACAATGACAAGATTAAAAAAGTCAGTGTGATATGACATATTACACGCTTATTTTTTCTTTTTATCATGAAAATGACCGGTAACTGGTTTACAGGCTAACAGTCTCACACAAATATGCAGTAGTTCAGGTTACCATAGTTTGCAGCAACTCAGAAAGTAGGAAGATGTAATGGTTAGACAGAATAATCTGTGAAGGTACACGAAACGCCCAATTGAGTATGCACTCATTGGTAGCGTATTGAACTATTTCTGACAGCTGTGCAGACGAATAGACGTTACATTTCTATACAGTTTCACAGTGAAGTGAGAAATTACTTATAAGTCTTAAAGAACTATAGCATAAATACCAACCATGATGTAACTGGTAGGCAGGCACTATGTCGTCAAATATTTTGCCAGTTTTGCCTTAGACATACCTTAACTCACCTAGGTTAGTTCATAGATAATCGATTATGAAACTGTTTTTTTCAGAAAGCTAAATTTTGCTCCAGTTTTTAGTAAAACTGTGGATGTCAATAGGTTTCCTACTTGTTTCTGAGAAGTTTCAGCTATATGGCCGTTCTGTTTCGGCTGTGTACTAAGGGCTACATATATATATATATATATATAAAGGCTCAACTAACTTTGATTTATGAACATCGTTCTTCATAAAAAAATGTTGTTACCAATTACGAGGTGGAGGTGCAACCAATACTTTACACAGTAATAAACGGCTTGAAACATGATTTAGTGATAGGACGTTGTAGAAACTATAAAAAAAGGTGAAAATAAGCATGTATCATAATGAAAATACGCGTTTGCGCGAAGAACACAACATCCCACTAACCAACACGAAAGCACCTGGAGATAACTTTTAGCCTCCCCCTCTGAACCAACTATCTGAGCAACTTCATTATAAAAAGGGATGGATGTCACCTGAAAGCTCAGGTGGAATTGTGAAATTTACATAGTAGACTGAAAGCTTTGTTCGTTAACTCTTCGTAATGATGAAAGATAACCCACAGATGCTGCCAAGCCCAATGACAACCAAAAGCTGGGGGAATTTTCTTTGTCACGACTACAACATGTCTGGTAAAGGTAAAGAAACTTACTGCCTAGTGATTTAAGAAGTGCCGGTTATCTGGCTAAAGTTTCAAGCAGTTAAGATTGAGCGTTGTGTGACCACAAATTACATAGACCAAAGTCATTTACAGCGATGCACTTGAATTCACACTGTCTTTAGTCTTTGAACATTTCATTCTTGTAACTATTTTCTGTTAGTCCATAACTACTTATTTGCTCCTAAATGAGGTGTCTTTGTCAATTTTCTTCTTACTTTATTATCGCAAGATTTTAATGACCTCAAATGAGATATTTTTGTCTGTTTGTAAGTTGAGTTGAAAACTACAAAGAATCAAGATCTCCTTAAGTATTTCAAACTTAGCAGCTCTGGAACAATCATTAAATGATTTCCCTTAACCTGGTCATGCATTCCAACATTAGTGTAAGAGTTCATTGTCTTGACTGGGCTTTGAAAAATACAGTAATTTGTTTACTCATTTACATGATCATAATTCCAGGTTTTGGTTATATTCTTTTTATCACTTTCGACATCATTTGACTCTAGATACTTTTTTAAAAGACCATTTAACGCGAACTCCTATTTCTTTCTTACGAAACTTAGCCACCGACGTATAACTGGGAATTAAACTACTTACGGGTTGTCAGATGCTACCGCCGCTAGTCAGTTTCCTAAGTAAAGTAACCAGTTGTTCGGAGTGTTTTAGTAGTTATCTCTTGTCACCAGCAGAATTTCAGTATGATAGGTATAGCAAACTGTATCCGAGTATTAAAGTTTGGGTCATGTTTTCTCTCTATTGATTTCAAACATATATATTTCCATAACAGTGAGTAAAAACAATCTGAACGAAGAATATTCTTTTCAATACATTCTCATCAGTTTCTACGATTATAAAATGCAGTTGTAAAGCGTAAAACGAGCCAAGCTTGAGGCGAGCATTATTCTCAAAATGGAATGAGGTTTAGGGACTACAGGGAAATCGGATATTTTTAAAAATTTGTTAATATTGAGAAGACATGCATGCAGAGAACCTCGCCTAGTTTACTAGTTCACTAGCTACTAGCCGGTCCTAAGCCTTGATAAAGAGGGAAGGTTCGGCATAGGGCTAGCAACCCTATTCCATAAAACCAATCCAATCGCTGAAGAAACTCCAAACCACAAAAAAGCATTAGAAATAAAAATCACCTAATTCCTCGCTGGAATCGGAGCGACAAGATGACGCCGGATGGTAAAATCCTTCAGAGAATCAATTGGCCGATGTGTCTTCTCTTCCCTTGATGAAAACAAAAGTAAGAGTGGGGACGTGGAATGTCAGCACAATGTTCGAAGTTAGCAAGGACGAAACTACAAAGGATTTCCTCACGTCAGCCATCAGGAAAAAATGGGAGACATTTAGAAACAGAACACTGGGACTCTGAAAGAGACGTGTAGGGCAACTTGCATAACCTCGTTAGGAAGGAAGAAGAAAGAAGATAAGGAATGGATCTCGACAGATACATGGAAGCTGATGGGGCAGGGGACGGTGGTGAAGCAGGAGATAAACCAGTGCGAGGATGAACAACAAAAAGATGAACAGAACACAACACATAAAACACTGGACAAAGAAGTGAAGAGTGCGCGCAAACATAAAAGACACTTCTACGACACACTTGCGACTGAAGCGCAACAGGCTACAGGTAGGAAAGATCTGACAACACTATATCAAATCACCAGACCAGTACCTTGGGAGAGATCAACACAGATGAAACCAATGAAAGATAATGAGTAGAACCTAGATACTAAAAAAAGAGAAACAAAGGAAACGATCGACTGACCACTTCAGAAAGCCCTTGAATCGAAAACCACCACCACCCGCGACTCGTCAGGAAAACCACCTGCAGCCCAGACACAGAACTACAAATCAACACAAATCCTCCAAAATAAGTCGAACTCCTAAACGCCATGAAGCTACTGAAATGCAGGAGTGCAGCGGGACCAGATGGAATCCCACCAGAACCACTGAAAACATAAGCAGAGGAAATAGCGGACATGCTCACAACGCTATTGCAGAAGGTTTGGAAGGAAGAAAGGAAAGTCACCTGCAGACTGGAAAAAGGGCTTCCTTGCCAGTCTCACAAAGTTAGGAGACCTAAGTCTTTGCAAGAACTGGCGCGGAATCATGCTCCTATCCACCCCAAGCAAAATATTAAGCCGCATCATCCTGGAGAGACTGAAAATGCTCTGGATTCAAAATACGACCATAACAGACTGGTTGGCTTCAGGAAAAACAAATCATGTGTGAATCCAATTGCAACTCTACACTATGCATCATCATAGAACAGAGCGTAGAACGGCAGTCAACTCAACTTCATCGATTTTGAGAAGGCCCTTGATGATGTCGACCGAGAAGTAATTTGACAGGCAGCTGCTTCAACACCACGGTTTTAGTGCCACAAACCTTTATCAACCTCATCCAACAACTATATGAAGACGCCACATGCCAAGTGATTCAGAATGGAAGGTTCAGTGACGCCTTTGAAGTGAAGACAGGAGTAAGACAAGGCTGCCTACCATCACTCATGATATTCCTGATTGTAGTAGACTGGATCATGCAACAAACAGTCAGGAGCGAGAAGAGGTGGATACGCCGAACCGGGGAAAAGATCCTAGAAGATTTGGATTTCGCCGATGATGATTTATGTTGAATGTCGCACAAACTCGGAGATCTACAGGCGAAAACTAACAAGTTGACAGAAGAGGCGAGGCAGCGAAGACGGGACGTCCTTCAAGTGAACGTGGAGAAGACGGAGGTGATGAAGATAACCAACCAAGAACAATAACAATAACAAGCACCAACAACCATCAACGGGAGAAACCTAAAGGAAGTAGTCTCTTTCACGTACCTACCTACCTAGGCAGCATCGTTTCAATTACTGGTGGCACAGATAAAGATGTCAATACCAGGATCGGAAAAGCAAGACAGGCATCCTTTCATTAATCTGAAATCAGTGTGGAGATCTACTGCACTGCACTCCACTCAGCATAAAGAATAAGATCCGGATTCTCAACACTAATGTCAAGTAAGTCAGTGCTTCTGTGTGATGGTTGAGAGATTTGGCGCGTTACTAAAGGGATTTCCAACAAACTACAGACATTCATCAACAACTGCCCCTACGCTTGTTGCTGAAGATCAGATGACCAGAAAGAATAAGCAACAAGGAACTCACTGTGGCAACGAAACAACCAAGAGCCTATCACTCAACAAATATGCAGAAGGAAATGGAGATGGACTGGGCATACACTGAGAAGGCCGACTGGGGACATCACGCACTAGGCCAGGCCGTCGTGTGGAACCCGGGTGGGAAACGATGAGTTGGGCGTCCGAGGGTGACATGGAGGAGATCGTGCGAGGAAGAAATGAGCGCTTGTGGGCAGTCGTGGAGCCATGTTGAAAGGAGCGGTCAGAAGAGAGTGAAACGGTGACTTGTTACTGAAGCCCTATGTTCCGCTAGGAACCCAAGGGACGAATAATAATAATGCCTGCAGAAGAGGATTGTAGTGATGAAATAAAAGATAATAAGTGAGTAGGACACATGTGGCATTCGGTTTATAGAAGGTCAAGGTAGAAATAACGTTCGAAAATGTTCTCGCTGAATGTTAAGTTCAGGTTTGCTCAGTCTTAATACGACAGCTTCAGCTGTGTTGATATGTTAGGAAGCTACTTGTGATATTGTTTTTGGTTCACAATGTAAGACATCAAGAGCCGTATTACCATCTATTTGATGCCCTGTGTTTACTGGATGTCATTAGGTGGAACGTCTTACCATTTCCACTTCATTACTTCCAAACCAAGTCAATGAATGTCCCCTTGACCGGAAGCTCCCCTTCCTAATCTTATACCGTAAGTTGTTCCACTGTATAAGTTAAATTGGAATATGCAAAACCGAGAACTAATATTAGGTGGCATAGTTTCACAGATGTATGGCCAACTAAAACAAACTTGAGTCGTCTATCGTAGAAACGACTAGCTCATCCTACGACGCGATTGCCAAGTGGCTAGTGCGATGACTTAGACAAAGACGCTTTCCAGCTTAAAGACAAAGTAAGAAATTCAAATGTATTTTGGGATGCAATAAACGCAATCAGTTGGTTGGCCACCATTAAGTTAATTGTGAAATGATATGAACCATGAATTACACTTTGTCTCGAATGCATACGTGTACGATTATAAAATGCAGCCCATGGTTATTTAACTAGTTCAGGAATTCGAAATTAAATTTTGAACTAGAGTCAGCATTGTTCTGTCGGAAAAATTTTTAATTTTTATATATGTATGCGTTACTGTACAGATTGTTCAGGATGCTGTTCATGGTGTCATAGAACTTGAGCCTTTGGCTGTTCAGGTGATTGACTCTCCTGAGTTCCAACGTCTTCGGGAAATTAAACAGTTGGGAATAACTTACTTTGTTTTTCCTAGCTCTCAACATTCACGCTTTGAGCATTCAATTGGCACTTATCATTTGGCCAAAAAGTTACTTGAAGCTATTCACAACGATCAAAACTACTCAGGTCCAACTTTGAATTTTCAAGAACAGTTATCTGTAAGAATTGCTGCTTTATGCCATGATTTGGGTGAGTTGAATGCGTATATGTTAATTCGTATTCAAAATGAATTGGTATCTTATCATTCTAGTAAACTCAAGCAGAGAAAAGGCAAATGGTGTGATTATTTCTTCCCCATTTTAGGTAACTGATTGAACTGTCGAGCTAGACAAAGCAGTGCATCTACATAATTAACAACACGGAGGAAATCGGTGAAATTGAACTAGGCGAAGAGTGAATGAGAGGGGCATAATTAGGAAGCGAATTTTCAATAAGAATAGAGTGAGCCTTTTGTCAGTGACCGCTTGTGGTTTGAGTGTGTGCAACGGTATTAGTTCCAAACACGTCCCAACGTGAATCGGATAACACGAACAGACATCACCTATGCTTGACCAGAATGTAACAGGCCTTATTGTAAACGACACGCGCCAACCAAATACACGTCAACGACAGGTAAACCAAAAGATAAGCACCATAGGATTCGAAAAGGTGTAATTAATTTGTTCGCTGTCCAATATATATAAACAAAATTAGTCTCAATATTGACGTGATATTGGTACATATAGTATTCGTCAAGAAATTTGAATAGAGTTACGTGGGGTATACAACAAGTCATTTGCAGTACTGTCATTCTATTCTAAGCTCCTCGGTTTTCGGCATACTGGTAAACTTATGCAGTAAACCTACACCGCTTGACTTTGCTTCACGAAGAAAATTACATAGCTGATTGAAACACACCTATATATAAACTGAGTTACCTGGTATTCACTTGAGCTTATAGGAAAACACAAGATAAAAAGTCTTTTTAATGAACAAATCCAGTGTAGTTTAATAAATTAGTTTCAAACGGAGTTGCATTGCTACTTAATAGATTTTACAGAAATAAACTTCCAATTCCTTGGTGAGATTGCAACAAGATGTTTGATTATCCTTGTTGTAAGCTGAAAAGTACGAAAAAGGTTTTTGGCTTCCACTCATCAATGTAAATAATTGAATAAAAACTATGATTTTTGCCGATAAGAGGGAAAGAAAAGGATGAACTTAGTGAACTAGTCTTAAAAACTTTTTTAAATTCGTGGAAATATTTTGATAAGCTTGTCAAGCTGTCTGTATATTTATATGACAATCTGCAGAAAATTGAAGACTCCTTACAATACTGCTTCGGTAAATGTTTTGCAGGGATTTCAAGTAACTGGTTTTGTACGAACAATACAGACAACTTGTATTCAGTACAATAGTTTTATAACAGGTAAGTAATAAGAGAAAAACGGGATTGTTGAGATCCCCACACTGTTATGGTATTCATCGGCTGAATTTGTAAGTAATCACGTCATCTGTATCAAATATTTAAATCAGCTGTAATACATAACGTTATAACAGAGATATATCGATATAATCCCGTAATTCAGATACTGTGGAACAGTGTAATTCTATATTGAATGTGTTCGTTTGATATGGGATATAAGCATAGTGTTATTTGCTAGAAGATATTTCCAGAATAAATTATTGCTTAAATAATCATATCACACTGATACATAAATAAGAGCACCATTTATGCTCCAAGTGTCATCCAGTAAACATTATTGTATCCCCCTGTGTGCTACATCAAATGAAAGAAGGATATGTTGGATTGAACGGAGTGGTGTTTGAAACGTTAAATGATGCTTAGATGTTAGCTGGGACAGAAAGTATAGGGATTCAACATAGTAATTAGATATAGATGAAAATAAGTTTAGGCTTTATTCATTAAGTCACATTTTCACCCAAACAGGGAACAAAAGTAGTCAACGTTGAAATTGTTTATCAATGATGGTCGTAGAGAGTTGACTTATCAAACAGATGAACAAATAAGAGGCTACTGTTCGCTAAAGGTTATTTTATTCTTCGGCACATTTCAAATTCCTATTTTCGAGAGAGACAGTTTTGAAGCCTAACTAACTCAATGTGGTAACTCTTTTTCCTACTTTGAAACCATCCTGTTAACTAGAGTGAAATATTATTTTTCACTTACAGCGACTTAATAAGTGGAGCTGTGGCTCAATGGTTAAGAGAGATGACTACCAATCAGTGGGTTACGAGGCTTGAACTCCACTCCATCCATCGTGGTTTGGGCAGTCATGTAGTGTTACTAGCCCTCATACGATAGGTGTGGCTCATCGCCTACTGTACGAAAGTGCAACAGGTTGCTGAGTATGTTTCGTTGTAGTGTTTATCTGTGTCAGTTACTTTATTACACGTTGAGAATTAGGGTTTTTTCTTAACGTTTTGAAATAACTTCACTTTACGTCCGGGAATAAGCTGCTCAAGTTAGTAATTATAAACATCCAGATCATAGTTGTTACGAATGTCCCGGAAGAATTTGAGCATTGAGCCTGATAGAATTACAATAAGAATATATTTTAATATAATTGTTATACGTTACCTTGTCTATTCATGCATATACTCTGTAGAGGTTTTACATTAATTGTCATGTATGCAGAGATATCGAGTATTCACTAAATTGCCCCTCCCCCACATATGCTGCTTGCTCGAAATTCATGTCTGAGAAATCTTTTACATCTGTTGATGAAAAAGAATAAAACGTGAGCCGCAGAAAATTGAATCATGAACTCAATTTTTATGAGTGATTAGAATTTACTTTAGTACTATTAATCAGGACGATAATCACATTGTTTTCTCAGAAACACAAGAATATAGGTGTAAAACTTGAGGACTGTGGTATAATTTAATTCCATAATAGGTTTATTTATTTGATTTACAATACGCAGTGATATAGTACTATTTACTTGATGACGTTTCGAGCATAAATTATTGCTCATAATCATACCAATGTGATATTCATATGATCATGAGCAATAATTTTTATGCTTGAAACGTCATCAAGTAAATAATACTCTATCACTGTGTGTTGTAAATCAAATAAACAAATCTAATGTGGAAGCACACGAATGTTTTCCAACCAATGGTAGTAGCAAATATTGGACAAACGGTGAGCATGTCCTGGTGATAATATTAAAATCATGTGCCATAGGATCACTGTCTCAGTTGTTTTCAGCTGTGACCGTAACCGTAGGATATGGACACTGTAGGTTTAGATGACCAACTAATTCCGACTATTCTAATTAACCAACCTGATTTTAAGTGACTAGCAATATTTTCAAGTCCTCAATCAACTTACTATTATTATTCGTCCCTTGGGTTCCTAGCGGAACATAGGGCTTCAGTAACAAGTCACCGTTTCACTCTCTTCTGACCGCTCCTTTCAACATGGCTCCACGACTGCCCACAAGCGCTCATTTCTTCCTCGCACGATCTCCTCCATGTCACCCTCGGACGCCCAACTCATCGTTTCCCACCCGGGTTCCACACGACGGCCTGGCCTAGTGCGTGATGTCCCCAGTCGGCCTTCTCAGTGTATGCCCAGTCCATCTCCATTTCCTTCTGCATATTTGTTGAGTGATAGGCTCTTGGTTGTTTCGTTGCCACAGTGAGTTCCTTGTTGCTTATTCTTTCTGGTCATCTGATCTTCAGCAACAAGCGTAGGGGGCAGTTGTTGATGAATGTCTGTAGTTTGTTGGAAATCCCTTTAGTAACGCGCCAAATCTCTCAACCATCACACAGAAGCACTGACTTACTTGACATTAGTGTTGAGAATCCGGATCTTATTCTTTATGCTGAGTGGAGTGCAGTGCAGTAGATCTCCACACTGATTTCAGATTAATGAAAGGATGCCTGTCTTGCTTTTCCGATCCTGGTATTGACATCTTTATCTGTGCCACCAGTAATTGAAACGATGCTGCCTAGGTAGGTAGGTACGTGAAAGAGACTACTTCCTTTAGGTTTCTCCCGTTGATGGTTGTTGGTGCTTGTTATTGTTATTGTTCTTGGTTGGTTATCTTCATCACCTCCGTCTTCTCCACGTTCACTTGAAGGACGTCCCGTCTTCGCTGCCTCGCCTCTTCTGTCAACTTGTTAGTTTTCGCCTGTAGATCTCCGAGTTTGTGCGACATTCAACATAAATCATCATCGGCGAAATCCAAATCTTCTAGGATCTTTTCCCCGGTTCGGCGTATCCACCTCTTCTCGCTCCTGACTGTTTGTTGCATGATCCAGTCTACTACAATCAGGAATATCATGAGTGATGGTAGGCAGCCTTGTCTTACTCCTGTCTTCACTTCAAAGGCGTCACTGAACCTTCCATTCTGAATCACTTGGCATGTGGCGTCTTCATATAGTTGTTGGATGAGGTTGATAAAGGTTTGTGGCACTAAAACCGTGGTGTTGAAGCAGCTGCCTGTCAAATTACTTCTCGGTCGACATCATCAAGGGCCTTCTCAAAATCGATGAAGTTGAGTTGACTGCCGTTCTACGCTCTGTTCTATGATGATGCATAGTGTAGAGTTGCAATTGGATTCACACATGATTTGTTTTTCCTGAAGCCAACCAGTCTGTTATGGTCGTATTTTGAATCCAGAGCATTTTCAGTCTCTCCAGGATGATGCGGCTTAATATTTTGCTTGGGGTGGATAGGAGCATGATTCCGCGCCAGTTCTTGCAAAGACTTAGGTCTCCTAACTTTGTGAGACTGGCAAGGAAGCCCTTTTTCCAGTCTGCAGGTGACTTTCCTTTCTTCCTTCCAAACCTTCTGCAATAGCGTTGTGAGCATGTCCGCTATTTCCTCTGCTTATGTTTTCAGTGGTTCTGGTGGGATTCCATCTGGTCCCGCTGCACTCCTGCATTTCAGTAGCTTTATGGCGTTCAAGTCCCCATCTCTGCCTTACCACGGGGAAGCTGGATCAGTTTGTAAGAGGGTTTAAGAGGAGTTGGTATCATTCTACGAAGTCTCTAACTGATGGTCTGAGCCATATGTGGAATTCTAGGCTGCTTGGTTGGTGTGCGTTAAACGGAAGAAATCAGTGATTGAGGACACTTGTTGACAGCTGAGAATTGGTCACATTGGTACCGGTGTTTTCGCTGTCTGACACCTAAAGCTTGCATATTTGCACTAACCGTTATCTTCAAATTGTCTGTTCTCTCGCAGAATTTTATCTTTTTGGAAATCACTATCTATGTACTTGTTCTTTGTATACTACTGTGAAGTGTAGCAAATTGAGCCGACGCACTTGTATGGGATATTCGGCTTTTATTTTGTCCTTTTGATTGGCGTACTTCAAGCCTTCTTTTGCAGAGATCTGAATCAAAACTCGCTACCAGTTGGCTTACAGCAAAGAATACAGCTATATCACACTTGTTTCCAAAATTCAGTTATCCGTTAATATTTCGTACCAATTAATATATTCACTGCAGGAATCATAGTGTTAGAAAAATCGTCAGTTGATTTCTGAACTTGATGTGTTTAGTAGAATTGTCTTGCTTACACGCTGTATTTTTCGTTTGCTGCTCAGATGAAGGTTACCAGTAGGGTACTTTATTAGCACTGGTTACTTCCCGTTTGTTTTTCAGTCACTTTCCATCAAAATCTCGAGCAAGAATATATACAGGTTCCAAAGCTCCTTGTCACATTGCCTAACCTGATTCTAATGTCTGCATGGGTCCCATTTTCTAATAATGCAGGAGAGACTAAACGGGGACATCATCTTATATTGTTTCCTGTACACTGCGTGTGATCATGAGTGCAAGTTAGTTGAGATAATAAAATGATATGCTTCTAGTCACTTTTTTCCCACACCAAAAACTACATTTTATCTCACAATACAACACCAATATCTGAAGAGTCTTCTAACCTTTTTGCTCAAAATGGGATTTAAGTAGCAAACACTATAATTTAAGTCTACTATGGTTGCGAAACCTAATTTACTCAAGTGGTGAGAAACTAAACACTATATTCAAGTAACCTAGTAGTCAGTTTTAAGTTGTTTAGATAGGTTTGCAAGAACTGTAATTTCTTGAAGATATGCATAATTTTTTAGCCCAACCTACTAAAAGTAACTTATACTTTTGTCGTATTTCTTACTTGCTTATCTGTCACTGTCTCATTGATGGCTAACTGTTATTCATTCCATTTTTTAAGATCTCCAATAAACCCACAAACTGATATTTTGCTCTGATCTTTACCTTCTCACGAACTATACTGTACGCTGTGTCATTTACCGTTAAAATCACCTCTGCTTTAGGTTCTTCACATCTGTTATTCATTATCGAAGGTGGAGACACACAAAATACAAGAAGCTGAGATAGGTTCTTTTTTCTTCTATCGAATTGGAGTGCGTGTACCGAAGGAGTGGAAATAATGGTCAACATATTTTCTTTATTCCATTTTGACTAACTTAAATCAAAGCTTATTCCGATTTCTTTCTTTCCTTTTAGTTATTATTAAGAACACTTTAGTCAAAGGTAAATGCTTTCCGCTTGGCTTAGCTTTTTAGTTTACAAATGTCAGTGATCACTATTCCAATAAGTGTACTTCAGCTATAATTCGTATTTAGTCCTATTATCTTTGCGCGTACTTCCGTTACTACCAAATGATATTTTCTTACTTTAGACGTCAATAAAATTTAGAAGAACCTACTCCTAACGCTGTAAAATAATGAGCCGCCGCTATTATTCACTGAAAGAATTCGATATTTAAGAAAAACACATTACTGCGATTTCACAAAATATGATTTTATGAAGTCATGAGGTTGTTACTCGAAATAAAGACAACCAAACCAATAATAAACAAGCCAAAATCTCCATAGGGAACAATATCGAGTGCCATTTCGATGTTATTCTTCATAATGCTTTTGGGGTGTTTTGTTAAATGTTGTCTTCACTGAGTCAACTCCCGTACCTATTGCAACTGGAGACTATGGCTGTAAATTTTTAACTGTTTAAACGCTTAGAAATAACATGATTTGAAAAGAGACTCTCTCTTCCATTTTCAAATAGATAGCTCTAACTTGGGAGTTTATAGTAACTACGTTGGCGTTTTTACGTAATGATGAAACGTCCTCATGAGCCGATTTCAGGGGAGTGATAATTTGCTGAACCATCCATCAAAAATCTTTGTTTATTGGGATTCTAAGACAACACTACAACTGAAATCCTCAAAAATCGCCTCAGGATCTTTGAGGAAGATATTTCATGCAGCTAACGTGAGAACCATACTTTCCAGAAGACAATTAGTCTGTCAATGCGTTGGGGACAGAATACCACTGTTGCCCACCTCACTTTACATCTATCAGTTTACTCGTTCCCACTGAGCACGGTGTATCGGCCGTACGCAACGCTAAATCCTTATGCGCATTTCGGGACATTTTACAGCTTGGTTTATTCTAAGGAGCGGGGAAAACTGTCACCAGTTCAGTTCTTGAGCACCTCGTCATCCATGGACAACTGGCCTCTCTTGTCAGTTCCTCCAAAGCAAATTACGGAGTGCTCTGCTACAATTCCAAAAGCCTTCGACTGCGTCATGTATACATACCCTAATCATTGGCAGTTTACACTCTTAAACTTGATCTGTGTCTTCAAAATTATTGTCTGCATTCGCTAGTCTTACCATGTCTCTACAAGTTTTCTATTCATTTCGTAGACAAAGGATATCAGGTTGAAACCTACAATGCCTTCAAAATAATAAACACAGAGAAAATGTCTGGATTGCTCTGCTTTGCGTACGCAATTGCGATGAAATTCTTTTAACATACCTTTGCATATAGAAGGAAAGTGTGATTAGTCTCTCACTCGCTTGGTGACTATGATTTGATCCTGTCTCGTTTTCGTTTTAATTACATGACTCTATTTATTTATTTATTTATTACTATTTCGCCTTGCTTACGTTCCTTACCTATGTACAATTAATTCTCTTACATGTTACGTGGGATATCCATAGTTTTGTTCTGCAACTTAAGATTATTGGTTTTCCAATTTTGAAGTATCTTATGTCATTTTAACCACTGTACTTTTATAGACTGAATGCATCTGAAGAGTATTCGTGAGATAAAATGATATCAATTTATACTACAGATTTCGTTCTTCTTGCTTTATTCAAATTTATCAAAGGATCTAAATGCATAAAGTACCTTTCAATTCTACTCAACAGTATAGTAATCACATGTGCTTATTGATTAACAGTGGACAGTTATTTGTTTCTAATGATTTTGAATACGGTTGTACAGCTTCAGTAAATGAAATTTTCTTCACTGTTAGATCCTTATGTTATTACTTAATATAGGGATTTTTCACTCGTTAGACTCTAGAGATTAAAATAAGGTAGTTTCTCAAGTGCATAATTTTTATATTATTAAACACACATTTTATGTTTTCAAACAGGTCATGGACCATTTTCTCATATGTGGGAAGAATTCGTTAAAAAAGGAGGATCGGAATATAGTCAATATAAGGTAATGAAGGCGTCTTGCGTCTTTGCATCATCGTTACTGACCATTGTTTCTACTTTGCTTTTTCTTCGAATATAAACTTACATTTAGGATTTCTGAAGCTACATATTTGAGGGTCTTTTAACGTGGAGGTCACATTTTCCCTCTTGTAAAAACTAAAATGTATATTTAAATAAATTTTCTCATGAAAAATTCTCTTTATTCCCTCGACTTATTTTGTTCGTTGTAGCAAGTTCACCTGAGATTATACAAGATATGATAGTCGGACTTTGACTTACATTTTGCAGTATCAATAGGTTTTTCACTGCTTTGAAACCACTGTTGCTCTCAATAATCCTCGCAGCTTCATATATATTTTGTTGTTTATAATAGTAGGTTTCTAATTCCCTTAATTTCTTCTTTCTGCGTTGCTTCACAGTGTGGTAACTTGAACAGGTGGACTCGTATATGAGAGTTAAAGTTTTTTATGTCAGTTTGATATCTACTGAATATTAGTTCATCGTAGCAGCTCGTATAACGACAGTAAAGTCTAATTTTAAGGTCTCGGTGTTATTCTATAATTTATTATGCGTTTTATTATGCATACCTTCAGCTGATAGATAACATACACAATCTTCTGATTACTTGATGATCCCAACATTTGTCTGGATATTTGAAGTATATTTTTGTTTGGAAAGGAAATAAAATTTACCTAAGTAAATGTAGTCTGAATAGCATGGGGAACTAATTACTTCTTTATAATGTAAGACGAGTCTTTTCACATGGGCATGTTCATGGAATTTTCAGAGAGGAAATTCATTATCACATTAGCTTTTTACAAATATGGTTTTCTATTGGGTGAGGATTGAAGGTGAGATGAAAATTTGGACTGCCGCTGGATTCGAAACAGCGACCACCGGGTTTCCTTCCCAATACCCTACCAGCTGAGCTGGTGATTAAAGTGAAACAAAAATCTCGTTAGCAGTCAGATTTCGTAGCTCAGTTGGCAGAGCATCGGGCTTGGAGACCCGGTGGTGGCTGGTTCGAATCCGGCCGTGGTGTGTATATATATATATGTATATATGATTTCTTTTAATGATGGTGTGGTTCGTTGGATAATTCCAGCATTATATTGTTGTTACAAATGGAAAGTTTAGTCTGCTACTGAAAATCAGTCCACATGTTGAAGAAAATCAATCATCTTACCCACTTTTCAGGGTATTACTACGTCAGGCATTTTTGCTGAATAGAATCAGAATCACGCTGTTCTACATTAGTGCTTAGAAGGTATATAAATAAGAAATTGTGACAAAGTTATCTACCTACTAGCACACTTTTTCATCAAAGAATAACTTTCTGAAGTTACCTTTGTTTTAGCTGCAAGTAACGCGTACGTATTGATGTGTGATATAACTTATTTGGACTGAAAATTTACTCGTCAGTTTGTTGAGTGACATAACCGGATATAAGCCCCAATAACAATTGCACTCTACACTTGACTGAACCATGCCTCAGTCGCCTGCGAAACAAGAGACTAGATGTCTATTCTCTAAAACTTTCTTTTTCTGGACTACATCGTTGGTGAGTTTCGGCTCATGCATGCACTGAAACATGTGATTTACAAGAACAGAACTCAGGGAATTATAAGCATCTTACGAAAAACTGAGTTTTCGAAAAGACGTTCTTCATATCTAAGTACTGCAATTGACGAAATTTCAGTACATGTACGAACCACATTGAGATCAGTATTATTTTAATTGAATTCGATTAGGATTCCTGGTAGATTTGAAATCGGTTTACATTAGAAATAAGTGTTGTCGTATCAACTGTTATGTATTTGAGCGGATTTTTTATACTTACGTTTAAGTTCACTGCGCAGTAAACTGATGTTTGAATTGGTTACTTTAATCATTACTCATACGAATGGCTCAATGTGCTCAAACAAGCTGAATAAAATCGAAACACTGAACTAGGAGCTTACTAATTGCATATATATTTTCAGCGCTACCCATACTCAATAATCAGGACGATAGTTACATACAAAACTAAGATCAAAATGAAACAGCTGTTACGTGACCTTCAAATAGCCATTAGTAAAGCGTTGGTGGTAATGTGAAGGTTAGCAGTAAGTCGATAAATGTCTACCAAGAAAACTAAGGCCACACGTTCTCTTATAGGTATCAATAGTCAGAAGGTACTGGGCAGTTTTTTTTGTTCTATCTTTAGAAGCTATTCTATGGTTGATACATTCTTACGTATCTCAATGGATTATAATCAGGTTTCTCAAGCTCTAAAAAAATCACTCTATCCGTAGAACCGAGAGACTAGATTTTTTTTTGTGTAGTTGAACACGAATGAGCTCTTGACATGAAACGAATTACGCATTAACAGTAGGTGTATTACTGTAACTTAGACCAGTGTCAGTGTAATTTTCATATTCCTGATGTCTTTATTCAGTATAGTTCACTCATAACTGAACTGATAAATTAGATTATCATTTGACATCTGAGATAAATTAGAGTCAATTCTTCATGCTTTTTTTTCTTTCAAATTGACTTTACGTTTAAATAGCACGAAAAAATCAGTGGCCATGTATTAGAGAAAATAGTTCGTTCAAAGCCAAGTTTGCAAAATGAATTAAATAATCTCAATGTTGATATGAAACTTATACTCAGTCTTATACTTGGTGACTCTTCTGCTGTATTATCAAATGAGGTAATGTTGTCAGATGTGGTGTTAATAACATGCTTTGTTTATTCTTTATTCCCGTTTATGATGCATGCTCTAATGAATTTATGATATTTATTTCTGAGTTCCTAATCTTTTCAAAATTATTTATTTGGTTTTATAAATACTTGTTAGTTCAAAAATAAAACCAATTGAAGAACCGTTGAAAGCTATAGAAAAACGGCTTACCTCTGTGTATCATTTATACTTCAGAAATTTCCTCCGGGTTTGACCCTGCATCCATTACGAAATTAATTTCCAAACTTTAATATTTGTTTAAAACAGAAACTGATATATTTAAACGTTAGTTTTTTAAATCACCAAACAATACTTTTTGGAAAGACTCATTCATAATAGTTTCAACGCTTGCACTCAGTGGACCAAAAATGAGAATTTGTTTATACTTTTAGAAAGTTTAAGCCAAAAATTATTCAGACTTTTCATCATATGGATAAAAAACAAGTTCGAACACTTACTTTCAAAGTTGGATCCCCTTGAGTACAGTGCTGATGAGATCAGCAATAAATAAACAAAATTTATTGATGTGCGTGGATCATACTTAAATCTATTTGACGAATACTTTCAATCGTTGAGATCAGTCAGGTCATGTGTCTTAACTCGTGGTTGCTTTTATTTTTGATCACAGTTTTCAGTTTTGAGTGCTTACACGATAGTAGTCTGTATACACAGCTTTGAAACTTAGTGATATATCTTATTGAGTTCGTTTCCCAATGTCACTTCTGCGCAAGTGTGACAATCGTCAAGACAAAAAAGGCAATCTGACACATGCTTGTAAGACCATATAGCTTCAGAATTATAAAAACAGAAATTCGTTCGTATGTTCTTTAGCATTATCAACTTTTTGTATTCTTTTTCGTATAATGTAACAAGATTTTTTAGGTACATCTATTATCTCATTCTTTGCAATATCTTCTTATTAATTGATATAAAGCCCACTAGAATTCATTCACTTGGAGGAGCTATTATTTATGTTATTGCTTAATTTGAAGATCATGCGTATATTGCATTACCTTTCTAATTTTTATTCGTTTACAGACCGGATTGAAGCAGAAACCTTTTATTTATGAGGTAAGTTTTGAAGTCTTTCACTTTTCTTTGCATTCAGTTGAACTTGGTTTATAAAGGAATAGCATTTATTTGACAAACTAACAATTACAGATGAAACTCACACAGTTGAGTGTAGCTAGGATACGAAATTACTACTCAATAATCACTTCCATTGACTACATTATAATTGTTTGAGTTCTACGTAAGAAGCTACATTGAATCTCATAGCTTTACCTGAAGCAATCGGTGTGCGAAGGAAAGCAGGTTGCACTCAAAAGGAGTGAACCAGTTAGTAGTTTAAGTTACTTCCATTTAATTTGTCGTTAATAGTGATAGCTTCGAGTTCACTTCATCCACTTTAACCGATGTCTAATGAGTGTTGTAGTTTGTTCTAACCAAAAGATGGATTTTACAATGTAAAATGTGTCGTCTTATACAAATTGCATTTTAAGGTTACTTTGTAAACTATCTTTCAGAAATCGTCTTTATAGATATCTTGAAATATTTGAATTTAAATGGCTAAATATGTGGACCATCTATAATTGTCTTAGAAAAGAATGTTGTAGTAATGACTTCCATATCACTCCTGTGAATTACTAAGTGACAACTAAAATGAAAGTCTGGGTTCCAAGTTTTTTCATTAGATCCCTCACTTTCGTAGTTTTATATTTAACGGTTAAACAAGGAATTGAAATAATATCAAGATCGATTGAAATGGGAATCGTTCAAATGACTTACAGCTATTACTCCATTGCTCACTGTCTAGTCACATCTTGGACAGAGCACTAAGTTAGTGCCTGCAACTCTTGAAAAAGTTAGAGAGGCTACAAGTAATTTGAAACGAAGAAGAGCAACAGAACTCAACGAACCTGCATTCACGGTATTTGAAGAATGGTGGCATTTGAGAATTTGATATTATCCTGACTGATCTCAGTCGTTTATTATTCTAGTCTTCACGTAAGAGAAGTCTTTTTGTGATATCTGGGGGTGAGACTCTGGTGAATACGGCTTTTGAAATCTGAAGTTCTGTTATTTGATGACATATCACTCTAACGTACTAAGGTGATTTACAGAGTCTGAAAACCGAACGGCAACTTAAAACAGCCTTTTGGAGAACATATCTATGCAGCGCAGTTTAACATCAAATAGAAAACGAAACTTATGTACCTGTGTAAACCCTCACAGCATTTGAACAATGGGGTCAAATCCAGCTGGATTTATCAGCTTATATTTGCTTATGATCACAAGTAGATAGGGAGAACCCGTCAATAAGGACCACAGAGAACTTTCCAAAATATCTATAACAGTAAATCAAATCGAATGATTCAATTCACCCTGGCAATAGATATCAAACTTTGCCGACATCTTAACATACCGCTGAAACAGATGACAAGGTTGATTTGTATGCATTCAAACCTATTTACAAATCCTATTGAGGATAGATGCTCAGATTTGTTGAAGCTCTAGTTCCAAATATGCTTAGGACTCTTCTAGATATTCAAAAGCAATTTGTTAGTACGATAAGTCTTCCTGGCTAGTTAGTTCAGCTCTAAAACAACAGTGGTTAATATACTGCCTTTTTCGGACTAAACTAGCAATTCAACCTTGCATAATATTGACTACTTTGTAAGCCCATTTCTCCTTTGTTATAATTCATATAAATAAACATGGCAAGTAAGTTTTATCAGATTGTTTGAAATGTATTACGCTAATATATCACAAGTTCCAAGTAGCCATAACATTTCTTCACAGAACTGTTACACAAAAACATAGATGAAAGTCTTAAAATACACATGTAGCTTGTCGATTTAATCAGATACTGAGTACACGTGTATACGATATATCGATTTTTCAACCATTTAATACGAGGCCTGTAACAAGAAATCCCCTCTATGTAAAAATAGTCAACTACATTTTATGAACCAATAAAGGCTCATAGTAATATCCAGTTTCACTATACAACAATCTGTAACACTAAAACCACTGGTTTTTTTAGATTACAATTCTCTACGTAATCATGACCTCTACATTGGATAGCATCATTATGCACGATATCATTATAGGATTATCATTTATCGAGTACACACTCATCTATAGATTTGACTCCATCTGAAAAGTGAATGTATGGTAGTTTGGTGACATATTTGTTTTCAGGTTGACTATCTGAGATAGCTGTGATTTGGTAGACTGGGTAGTGAATGCAGATGGTCGCCGGTTCGAATCTTGCTGCTGCCCAAATTCCAGTCATCACCTAGTATCTATTTATTTAACATTAGTCAATCAGCAACAAATAGTTCCCATTCTTTCTTTTGATCAACTCACCTTTATCTTCGTTTGTCCGATAAATTAGTACATATTTATGTACACAATGTAGATCTGACTGCGATACATAGTTCAACAACTTGTTGAGTAAGCATTCCAAATAATAACAGTATTGTTTAAACTACTCGTCTGCTTATTGTTCACAGCTAACTTTACCTCACTAATGTCAAATGTATTCCCATGAAGTAATAATTTGTGTCTTATATTAATAAATTTAGATACTTTCTAACAGTTTGAATGGTATGGATGTTGATAAATGGGATTATTTACTTCGAGATTGCTTATATTCTGGCATTGGTGCTAGCGGAACAAATGTGGATATTGACAGATTTTTACGTTTCTATCGACCGTTTCTGCACACTGATCAAGACAAATATAACGAAGATAAATCATGCTGTTGGCACTTATCATTTAAGGATACTGAGTTAGAAAACCTACTCAGAACGTTTAGTTTACGACAACACCTGCATCAAAAAGTTTATCAGCACAAGACTGTCACAGCTATATCAGTGAGTTTGAGTACTTTGCACCTCTTTTATTTGGATTTTAATAAAAGCATAAACTTTTGTCCCCAAGCAAAATCTGAACTGTCGGGAAATTGGGTGTTATATCAGGATAAGATATAAGCAACTGACTATCGAAAATTGTATATAGCGCAATATCGACTAATTCCACTGGTTATCAGACGTTAGTAATAAACCTTGCTCATGGATATTATAATGGCTTTATCGGTGTTTTGTTTACGCACTGTTTCACCTGTTTCAAAACCACTGAATCAAGCATATTGTGTTTAAGGACATAGTTAAAGGTAAGACAATTAAGCCAGTCGACGAGGCTTTGAAGCTATACATGCGATATGTGATTTAAGATGCATAAATCAAATCACCACTAACTACAGTTCATGAGTTCATGAACTCATAAACTAAAGAATGTTTTAGTCGGTCAGTGCCGGATCTCATGATCCAGTCTATTTTCTTCAAGACAACTGTATGATTGAAGTTATCAAACTGTTCAGAACTGTTACTTTGGACTTTCTAAATACCATGATCGAAGGCAAGTTACAGTGATATAAATATATTCACCCTTCATTTTCACTAGATCCTGAATTCAATATTTTTACTCTGCAATTGGAAATCGTTTTTGTTCACTGAAGTTTTCTAGTCTTGGTGATTTCTTAATTATGTGATGTTGTAAAATGTGACAGCTTAAATCAGTGCACAATTATGTGAAGCTCTACATTAATCTTTCTGTCTGTATGCTGAAGTACAGTTTACCTATTATGGTAACACCGATTTGTAACTAGGATTTAGATAAATTCATCGTACGATGAACTCAAAGTTATCGACATTGCAGTTAAGAAGGCACTGGAAACTGAGAATCATTATTTAAACTACTTTGTCTTACAATACCTTCTTTCGATCTTCGTAGATAAACCTTGGATTTCTAATTCTTGAGAACAGCTCATTGGAGTTAAGGTATATGGAGTTATTTTTCTGTGTGTTGACTGGATTACGTATTGACGTAATGACTGATTAAAAACCATACAGTTATAAATCTTTCTGATGTCGTAAGATCGGCTTTTATTAGCTGAAAAAAGATGATGCAAGAAGACGTTACAGGGAATTTTAAGGAACCCATTTTTCACATAATTCATGGCAAAAGCGAACTGATAGTAGCTAATTTTACATTCACTAGGAGCTCTCAACCACTTTCACCTGATTACCTGTACAGAAGCCATAAAATTGCAATGCTACAATGAAAATTCTATTAGTGAACGTGATGCCAGGTTTGTACAAGAGGACAAACTAGCAATGGTTTATTCGACTAAAGTTATTAACGTAAAAATGCTCTAATGATATATTTGTTTTTGAAATGCGATCTGTCAAACATTTTCACAGCCTTTTATGCGTACAGCGCGAGCTACAAAAAAATCCAGACGACCTCGAAATGTGTGAGTGATTTACTTACATCTTAACAGTGCCATTCGTCACTGTTTCAAAAATACGAATTCTCTGTAGCCCTACTGAAAAATGTAGTGTTAACTTACCAGATTTGAGTGACTCTAAAGGCCACTCTGGCAACTTGTAAAATAACCAATTAGGTTCCGTCTTCTCACGAAAAGTGCTACCACAGAAGTAATAAAGACGCCTAACTGGTTAGATTTTTGGTTTCAAAGGTCAATTTTAAAGGCCACCCTGACAACTGCTCAAATGACCAATCAAATTTATTTGATGAAAAAAACTGCCTTTCCAGCGAAGATTGAGTAAACCTGATTCGTTATTTCAGTGGTTGTCCGGTTAGCCTTTAGAACTATTAGTTGCTGTGGTGATTTTAGAATCGCTCCTATATATCCTAACTTCAATTGAAATTAGGAAAAATAGGCTTTTAATCGTAAACATTTTATACAATTTTCTGTTTTCGCATAAGATTCTGTTGCTTACAAATATCAGATAGTAGCTTCGGTGAACCGAGTATGGCTTTACTGTATATTTGTGACTGTTAGCTGTAGCTGGTGAAATATTCACCTTAAGAGGTTTGACTTTCTTTTCTTTTCTCATAGGCTATGGTTATCGATGCTCTTGAACTAATAGAACCTGTACTGAATCTCCGATCTATTAGCATGAAAGCATTGAGATGTCAGGATCCTAATGATTTGGACGAATTTCTAAAACTTCATGATTCATTACTATGGGATATTTATTATAGACGAGGATCATTATCGAACATTACTTCAAACGATCACCTGCCTCAAATTCAAAAAGCTCAATCCCTCATACGTCGAATATTGAACCGAGATCTATATAAATACATTGACAGTATTTATGAAATGTCATATTATGCACCAAATGATGATACTGAAAACTACCAGCATTCTTCTGGTCAAGAGTTGTCTAATTCCATAAATGAAACAGCAACTCAATCATTGGCGTTGCGTTCTATGGGCTTAGGACTTGGGCCTAGGAAGAGTTTATGCTATGAGCCAATTCCGCCACATTACAGAACTTTCGGAGTGACGCCAAATGATATAGTTAGTTTCATTTGCATATACGTCTTTAACAAAATATGTTACGAACTTCTTATTCAGTATAGATAATTATGAATTTATTTGTTATTGTTAAATAAGTTGCGTAAACGATTTCACTCTTTTCTGTCTGATTATTATTATGCAGTAGCATTTTGCGAGTTCCTGACGTGGCAGACCCGGTTACTAGGGCATCGAAGTCCATTTTCTGAAGTGTGTATGCATCAAGATCGATTAACAACACATACACTTCACTTGTTGAACATTTCTGTTAATTTGAACTCTACACGATACGTTGAGTGGTTTTTTGAGAAATAATATATGTTACTCAGAACGACGCGTTTCGGTCCAGCCGTCTACTTATTTAAGTGATAAACCTGAAGCATAATTTAATGTGATAACTTACCCTGTAGTAAAAATTAGTTTTCATCGTTTAACTGCTGCTTTAATTTCTATCACAAAATCTCAGTCACCTATAGTCATTGTATGTGAATTTCAGTGTTTCTCCTTACTAAGTGGCACTAAGTCACTACTAAGAGCCTTGTAGAGATTTCGAACAACTAAATCTATGTGACTTTGTTGTTGGAGTAATAATGAATTTTTCCATATTTAGTTTTCCTTCTAAACATGTTGAGTTATTATCGGCAGCCTTTTTTTAATTCCATGGAAAAGTTTGCAGTAGTCATTGAGAACGAACCATTTTTCGATAAACTTTTTATGATCAATAAATATTTTAGATGTAATACACATATTCAGAATCTTATTTCAACAGCAATCTCAATCCAAAAATACTAATGTGTATAACTTACAGTTTGAAATATGGTTTATAGTAATTTATTACCTTCTCCTCAATTTCCGTACTGACTCCCATTTGAGCATCGCTAAATGCCACGAACTAAGCCAATTGTGGTAATTATAAAATCAGTTCGACTTAAGTCTTAACATGACCATAGTTGGGACGAAAAGTAATTTTTATGTGAAGACGTTTAGTTTAGAAGCAAGAAGTGTGTTCATACGGTATTTGAGATAATAAACTATTGTTCATGATCATGTCATATGATTATGAGATATAATTTGTGCTCGGGACGTCATCCATCCATCCAGATCAACCTAGGATCAGGCATTACTGCGTAAAAGTCCGAGTTGCCACACCTCATATCAGTACATCAAGTAAAAAAGCAGTAAGGCGCAAGATGAAGATAAGAGAATGCAGTCAAAAGGAATATAAAGTACAAAAAGAGACAAAGGAAGAATGAGAAAGTGGTGAGATTCGATATAGCGTCGTTAAGATGAGGATAATGTGTGCATAAATCAGCGCCACTGACATCGGTTCTGAGCCATATCACCTAGAGTCTCCAACCGCTGGTTCCTCTTGCCCAGCGGACCCCAACCACCTAGTCTGCAACGCCCCACATGGCTAAAGCCAACAGTCGAAGACCTCATACATTGGTTCCATATTTTAGTCTGGTCACCTCGGGCCTTTTTCCAGCCTGGACCTACTTCAGTCAATCGGCGAATAGGCATACGTAACACTTGTCCCAACCATCTCAGTCGATGAAGGTTCACAACCTCGTCAAGTGACTTACCTTTTCTCCCTAAAACTCTACACCTGACTTCTGTGTTACTCACGTAGTGACACCACGGAATACGGCCTATACTACGAAGGTAGCGGTGGTCAAACACATGAAACCAGCCTTCTCATGTCTTCCACCTTCAATGGCCATGTTTCACAGCTATACAGTAGAACAGACCGGCCTGCTGTGCAGTATACGCGACCCTTAGTAGACAATCTGATATCACGGCGGGGCCACATGTGGCGTAAGTTGGCAAAAGCCAACCGAGCCTTTTGTATTCGTGCAGAAATTTCACCGGCCACTGAGCCACTAGGGCAGGGCTGATTCTACTTCCCAGGTAAGTGAAGTGGTCGACACACTCAATCACTGCACTCTCTATTGTAAGCCTCGGTGGGGCCATCGTTGAGGACCAATCCTGGAGAAGCAATTTGGATTTGGGTGGTGAGAAACGCATCCCAAACATTCTTAAATTCCCACTCAAAGTGTTCAGAAGATTTTGCATCTTGTCAGCGTCTTCACCTAACAGGACAGTGTCATCTGCATATTTTAGGTCTAACGAAAATTCTCCACCGATTAGGTCAACGTCCCTGTAATCAGGCGACGAGAGTGAAACCTCCATAAGAATATCTACGATAAAATTTAATAGGAATAGAGAGAGTGGGCACCCTTGACGGACACCACTCGGTGGTACATCTCACCATATGGTCTAACGCGTCCACGAGTGTTCGAGTAGAGAGGTTTCAATAAGGTGATGTACTAACTCGGCATGCCTTTCAGTGAGAGACATTGCAACAAGACTTCCCGATCAACGGAGTTGAATGCCGCCTTCATATCGAGAAATACAGCTATTTTCGGGCGCCGGTAAGCGTGTCTATATTCCAAAACCTGGCGCAGTGTGAATACTTGGTCGATACATCCGTGGCCAGGTCTAAAGCCTGCTTGGTTTTCTCGAGCTTGCTGTTACCGAGCTCTACTCAGGCGTCGGAGAATTATAGAACCTAGCATCTTGGACACTATGTTCGTCAGGCTGATTCTTCTGTGGTGGTTATCACAAGAGGACTTCTCGTCTTTCTTGAAGACTGGGATAATCAGTGATCTAGACCAGTCAGATAGGTTCGTATTTGATTCCCACGTACTGGTTAACACTTCCGTTAACGTGACTAGGAGCACTCCACCACCATCCTTGTATACCTCAGCAGGTAGTCCGTCTGGCCCTGCTACCCTTCCACATTTCAGGTTATCTACTGCTTTCTCGACTTCTGCTAGTTTTGGGGGGCCTTCTAAGTGTCATATTCAGGATCCGACTGGATAATGGGCAACGCAATGGTGGCTGTAGGCCAGTTAAACTGTTCCTCGAAGTGTTCTGCCTATCGTTCCAGTCGTCTCCCTTGTGAGTGAATCGCAGATCCGTCCTTCTCTGCTATAGTCTCACTAACCGCAGTCGATGTCTTCCCCCCAGTTTCTTTAATAAGTCTAAATAACTGTCTACTGTTACCAATGGCCACCGCCTTTTCCATCTCTTTAGCCTTCGCTGCCCTTCAAAGTTCGCGGTCGTTGCGTAGACTTTTTCTCAGTCTACTTTTAAGCTGTGCCCGCTCTTCATCGTACTCTGGGCCTGCAGGGATGCGGTCACGTGCATCCATTAGTTCGGAAGAAGCCGCTGATATCCACTGGCTCTTTTTAGCCACTCTTTTGGAGTGGGCTACGGTCTTCAGCGCTGCTTTTTCGGCGGACTGCAGATGACACCAAGCTTCTTCTGGATGAGTGATAGTCTTTTGTTCCGATAACTGCCTAGCCAACTTCTCACTGAAACCGGCTTTGGCGTTTTCACTGTCCAGCAGTACTCGTAGTGGTTTTGTTGTCAAATTTCTGCGTGCATTGAGACTCAGGCATATACGTGCCCGGACCAACGCGTGGTCACTATCCAAGCATGTACTCCAGGAGGAGCGGCAGTCTTCCACCGATCCTCTCCAGCGATGAGTGATGGCAATGTGGTCTATCTGCGTCCATCGCTGAGTTGAACTTGGTGGCGACTATCAACTGGGATCCAGTCTAGTAGTGAATTTTCTGCCCTAGTGTTTAATGCTATGCCTACACTTGCGAGACCACGAGAGCTAGCTATCGGATCTCCAGAAACTCGGAGGGTGAATTTTGTGGATTCACCAGAATGGCCGGGAGATGTTAGGTGAATAACTGCACTTGGGTCCTATATGCGTGTCTCACAAACACAGCGCACATCCATGCCTCGAGTTGTTGGAGTCTTTGCCAATGAAGCTTGTTGACTAATTTGACGGAGGGTGTGGACACTGAAGGCTTCAATATGTAATTTGGAGTGTGGTTTAAGGAGACCAGTGATGCTGCTTTGTTGGACTCAGGTCATTGTCGAGGGCTGTAGAGGTAGGAGAAATTGAAGATGATGCAGCATCGTTAGTTGAGAGAGGTGAAGGAAGATTAGAAGGTAATGATGAGGGAGGTAGGTAGCAGTCTGAAGAAACTTGAGTACTGACGGAGTTGTGAGGACGGTTGACACTTTCCTGGCTGCCCACACTATGGAAGGTTATTTTCTTCTTAAAGTACCTGAAAGAGATTTGTGTGACCGCAGAGCCTATCGGACATCTGCTTGAGGCCTGTCACACGTAGCCTTTTGTGTATGATTATTTTGAACTTTTGTTGTTTTGGGGCCGGATGGTCGAAAAGAAATGACAAATGAACCAACACCACAGGCTCGGCAGACCATGGGGCATGGTGGAGTGTGTTATTTTCGGGGCTGACCTTTTCTAAGCCCCCCCTCTTCCACTGAGAAGGCAGTCTCAGCATGGTACTGCTGGTCATTCAAGTGGAACACCTTACTGCTTTCACACCCCATCCAGCTAGCAGCACTACGACTTCGCCTTCAGGCCCACATGATAGTGTAGTAATTTACACCACAATGGTAACTGCTTTTCGTCTAACCACTATCCAACAGACCTTTCTGGTATGGTAGGTCCTTGAGGGAACAAGTGTTCCACCAGCATAGCTCGTTGGGTCATGTGATATGCCATGTGATATGCGAGCCCGACCACCACGTCAAGGTAGCAGCTATCGATCGGGTCATCTAGTTTATATAAAATATTTTATCCCTATGGGGCTATATCAGTTAAACTAACCTAATATTAGTAAGTGATATGAAAGCGCAAGGAGGGACACCGAAGCAATCAGAAAAATATGTTGAGGGGTTTTACAGAATTTCACATCAACGAGTCAACCATGGTAGTCATTTCCTACAATTTTACTCTGCAAAACCCTTGTTCCTGATCAACCATATGTTTGACATCAAACCGATTAACTCCGACAGACTATATTGTTCCGAGCCAATTATCTTTAAAGATCGATGGAAGACCAGTACTCTCTCCCAAGTAGCTGATAGGATGCAGATGATGTATTTGTAATAGC